GAGTCTCTTGTTTCTGCTGCCACAGATGGAATATATTCAAGTACCTAAGCACAGTCTTGTGGGTGGAACTCCATCCACTCTCAGCAATTTTAACAGCACAGCTATTCCAGTCACACATCGTGACTCATCACGTTCCTCCTGGCAAAAGACTGTACTCCAACTAGAGAAATTGCTGCCAAGAGGTTATGTTTGATTTGGGACCAAGAGAAAAGAAACCACACAAAAGTTGAAGTAAATTCTCCAGGAAATAATACAATCAAGGTCAAAAACTCTGTAAGTAGGATGAAATACCCCTCCCCTCAATGCACAGAACTGCTGAATTTCATTATACAGTTCTTGGGGATGCTAGTAAGTTATGCCTTGGTTTTCTTCTGCTCAAAATTCAGCACATCAACATCAACTTATAGTGAGCATTATCTAAACGTTGACATCATTCAAACAGAATCTCTCCAGGATTGTGCAGGAATGCCTCACCCTTATACCAGCACCAGATAAACATCAAATCCTATTTATTCCACAGTCTCTTACTTCAACACAGAAGGATGTAATTCATACCCGATGTGACTTCGAAAGGTATTTCTGAAATCTTAAGGCAGTGAAAATAGAATAAATCGAGTTTTACTAGAGTGAAACTGGATCAAAAGAGAGGTCATCTTCAAATAGTGATAATGAACCTTAACCACATGCAGTCTTGTCCCCTCCTGCTGTTTGACTGTATAGACTTCATGCACTGAAGATAAAAGATTTTAACTTACATATACAGTAAACTACACATTTTATCAACTATTAGGTCTTTCAAATAGCAGGGAAGAGAGCTCCCAAAGGCACTGCTGACATCATGCAAGTCATCTAGTAAAAGCGATCCAGCCTATAAGACACACAATGAAAACTTTTGTATCTGAAACATCACTTCAGAATCTCTCAAGACCAGAAAGCTCTCTGTGTTTCAAAAAGAGATTAAATGTTAACTCCGTTGGTCTCTTTTGTCTGAAATTCACTCTTTCTATGAAATTCAACACCACACAAAGAGCCAGAATCAGGATTAAGGATCTCATAAACCCCATTTAATTCCTTAAAAAGGCTTCTGTGCAGAAATGAATTCCAGTCTCTGAGAAAAGTTGTACTATTCACAAAAGTGGGGGTGGGGGCTTTAGAATTACTATGAAAACTCTGTGCTCCAGGAAACTTTTTAGGCTTTTTTTGGAAACATACTTCTTCTAAATGGAGATGCATGTTCTTTAAAATAGGCATTGAAAATGGAATCTTAAAATGTTTTCCCTTAAAAAATTATAGCCATTAAAGTCAATTTCTCTTTTGCTACTGATTACAGAGTGATAATAAAATCACAAGAACTAGGTCAAAGTCAGACAGCAGCTACAAGGGCTTTTGGGCAGGCTTACCATTTGCAGGGATTCTCCCTAAAATTCAAGTAATAGTCTTCTATTGACAAGAAATAGGAGGCAGAGTAATGCAAGATAGTGAGTCTCCTGTAATATGTTCTTCATGCATCTTACAGGAGGTTGAGCTCAAGGAAGACAAACAGAAAGAATAAAAGAAAAAAAAAAAAAAAAAAGACCTTATATTCAATTTATACACTTCACATACAGTTTTACTTGGGGACCTCCCTGTGAGTGCTAGCAGCTCTTTCTGGTGATAAAACTGCTACTGTGTGGTTAATTTATGTCTCTAATGCATGGCATAAATGGACTGAGCAGTGCATTTGGTGAAGGGATGGGGAGTCTCTGGATATGTAAGCTGCTGATCAGTAAAAAGTCCCTTTGAAGGAACTGCAATGCTGAAAATTTATTTCAAAAGCATTAAAGCTCATTGTCATGGGTGTCACTGCCTAAACCTCTTGTCAAACTCAGAGGTGGCTTGCCACTTCCACTCTAACATGCTGTTGAGCTATTGCAATCTGTCAGAGAGCAAGAGCAGCTTTGGTGCCTGTGCCAGTCCCAGCCAGAGTGAACCTCGTCATAAGTTTAAAAGTCAAAAAGAGTTTTCTAAGGTTCTTGTATTTGTTTTGGTTTTTTTTTTCCTTTTTTCCAGTTGGGGTAAGTTCCAACACTACTATTTGGGCATGAGCCAGCTTAATGCTCAGTATGCCTGGGAGTCATGGGGCATTTGCAAACGCTGCACTACTGCAGGAAACAGTCCCTGGGAACTGTGGGCTTTGAGCTTCCCATTGCTTACCTTAGGGAAAGGAGAATACCCCAAGCAGGAAGGGTCTGTTTTGTGGAAGGAATGTTCATATAACCCTGTACATCACTGAAACCCAGAAGAGTTAAAGCTCCAGAGAAACTGCAATGTAAACACAGCAACAACCAGACAACTAACAGACCAGCTGGAAAGCAGCAGAGAAAAAACTCAGTGGCTAAAGCAGCCAGCAACAGAAGGGGTTACTGGGGGCTACCACTTAAAATAGATGATCCAGTGTAATAATTTCTCTATTATCTAAAATCACATGGGACTGGAATACCCCAGTAAAATATAAAATTCTGTACTGGGGAGATGCTTCCACCATCACATGACATTGTAACTTCACAAACTCAGGAAAAATGCTGTGGTACACAAGAAAATCAACTGCATTTATTTTCTAGGAGACAAATGAGTTTTCTTAATGTGTACAGAACATGTTAACATACTTAGAGAGGAGTTTTAAAGAAAATTTGTCTGTTTGGAAAACTTCTGTCTTTTGACTGAATTTTGCTACTAAAATCTAAGGTGGCACAGGACCCCATGCTGTAGACTCCCCTGGGACTGGGGCTCTCCTGAAAAATCATCAGAAAAATCAGGATATAAGCATTGTGAGTAGTAAGAACTTTTTGCTGTCCTTCAGAAGCCAGTATTCATAACTGAAACTCTTCATGTCATTGAAGTACGGAAAAAAACCCTGTATTTACTGGATATTCTCTTTAGTTACATACAGTATTTTCATTGTAATTACGTTATTTTACGTCTGCTGTACTACAGGAGTAAAACTACCAGGACTCCTTCATCCTTCTGTCACAAGGTGGCGACGTTGGAAGCAAGAAACGTGATGGAGACCAGGGACAGAGCAGCACCCTGAAATGCTGACTTGAACCACACTTTGGAGAAAATAATAAATCATGGGTAAATTCTGAGCCGTATATTTATGTGAAAATTCACGTACTGACTTTAAATGTAAAGCAATTTAAAGAAACTCCAGCCCAGCACTACAAATTCCCTAATGCAATATAATCCTTGAATTATAACCATTATATAAATATAAATATTTTGGTGGGAATTCAGCACATCTGTGCACACCTTTTCACCATATCAAATTCATTATGTAAATAAGATGAGAAATAATTGTCTTTCACGGATTTCCTCTCCTTAAGGTTTTGTTAGCAGCTATTTTTAAAGAAATATATGGAAGCAATTACAAGATCTTGTTAAAAGAGTTCTAAAGTATGTCAGCAGAATGAGTTCCAAGGTAACAGCAGTTTTCTGCCACCGACCAGGCAAAGCAGAGAAAATTTAAGGCACGGATCTTGTTATTAAAATGCATCTGTAAGCTTATGAGCTCTGAACAGAATCCAGCATCCTATTCAAAGACGCTTTGTGCAGAAAGCCAGCAGAAGCTCATTATTCACAGAATGATGGGATCGTTAAGGCTGGAAAAGGCCTTTAAGATCATCAAGCCCAACCACCGGCCCACCACTGTCTTCGTCACTAAAACCTGTCCTGAAGTGCTGTATCCACACATCTTTTGAACGTTTCCACCACTTGCCCGGGCAGCCTGCTCCAATGTCCGACCATCCTTTCAGGGAGTAATTTTTTCCTAATGTACGACCTAAACCACTCCTGGCGCAACTTGAGGCCATTTCTTCTTGTCCTATCCTTCCTACGCCCTCCTTTCAGGCAGTTGTAGAGAACGATAAGGCCTCCCCCAGCCCACTTTGCTCCGGGTTAAACACCCCCAGCTCCCTCAGCCACCCCTCACAAACCCAGTGGCTTTGCTCCCAGGGTTGCTGAGGAAGCTCCTGTGGCTGCCTGGGGGTGCCTCATACCAGCGGCGCTCCCTGCCAGCCCCGCTGGGGAGGCCTCCTACCCCCAAGCCCACGCAGACTTTTCTCGGGAATGCACTGAAGACGGACACAATTAAACCACCACACGATAGCGCCACCTAAGACCTCCGTGTGAACCGCAGGGAAAGCGCCGACGCGGGACTCGAACCCACCACCTTTCGGTTCGCCAGGACACTGCGCGCCAACACAAACACAACCCACCTCCCGACCCCCACCGCGGTGTGACTGCACTTCCGTAAACATCGCGGCGAGATGAGTGACAGGCGCGACGGCCAATCGCGAT